GGGGCGGCAGGGAATGTAATGCCAGGGACATCCTTGTTTCAGACACCAACATTAGATTTTTGCATGAGTGGTCATTCTGTAAATTCTGAAGACCTGAATACTGCTTATTTTCATTGAGTGTCTCTATATTTAGAATAAAAATTAATACATTTTCCATACCCGCTTTTAAAAAAATAGTAAATGAAAAGCACACCAAGTTGAGGTTTGTCATTGTAAGTCAAACTAGGATTCTGTGTGTACATATACCACATCGTACTGGTAAAAATGTGCAAATCCAGGCACAGCTCCCCCTTTCCAGTCTTTGACAATAAATGGACATTTTGACGGAACTCTAGAATTAGTAAACTGTAGGTGTGGACTGAGGAACTGTGATGTAAAAAAGTGGCTTTATTCTCTTAGTGATGCATATAGATTAACATTAATTTGAGTTATACTGGAAACCCAAAGGAGCTTTAAAAAAAAAGAGGAAAGGACGAAGTTACATCACTGAGTGCACGAAGCAGAGTGGAAGGGTGTGGGTGGGATAAGTCTGAGCTTTCTTTATCCTCGAGGAAATCAATTAAATGCTTCCAGATTTTGTTCCTTTCTACAACAACAAAGATCTGACATTACCAGAGGAGGCACTTCACACACAGCCATCTTTGTTCACAGCAACATTTCTCTCGCTTTCTTAAGAAGTCTTCAGTACCTTGACACATGTCCTGTACATCAGAAAAGATGACAGATAGCAGTGAGATCTCCTTAAATATCTGTTCTGAACAATGAAATAGCTATTTCTCAAAATGGAAGTTTTATACTTCTTGTGATTAGTCTAGGCACACCTCCTTCCAAACAAGGTGATAACAGAGGTCATTTTGTAATATAAATGGCCTTCCTTTTGCCATTGTAAAACATGACAGGAGTTCTAGGATGTAGGTTAATTATAATGGTCATTCTACTAATGTCACAGTTGTGTCAAAAGTAGTATTATCAATTTATGGTGGTAAGTCCAATCTGGCATGTTAATGCGGCCTATTGTATATTTTTCCCCGTTCATCTTGCATGCCTATTAAATAAATTGGGCGAGGGTTTTAGGGAAGGCTGAAGACTACCATCTGCCTGCTAGAAGAGTAATAGTCTTGTGTCATTATGTACTCCTAACCCAGTGGCATCTCAATATGCTCCTTGACTCCATTTGATATATGTGCCCAAATTGTGCCCTGATTTACATCCTATGCCAATTCCATGAAAAAAACAGTTGCCAGAGGTGGAAGGCTAGACTTGAATTTACCCTTCCATTTTAAAGCTGAGGCAGGTTTAAATCCTAGACTGTGCAAAACCAATCTGAAGTAGTTGCAAGATTTAGCTCTTTGACTTCAGAAGAGGCTAAATCTGCTTTTGAGAGTCAAATAAGGTTGAAAGTGTGGATGGACAGAATTTGTCATATTTTAGCCATCTAATTGCCTGGTCTCATTGTACTTAGGAGCTAGCATGCCACCTTTAAATGTTTTTCACCTAGTGCTTATCTCTTGTCACCTAATGAGTGCATAATTCACACATTTAATACCCAGGGGCACATGCAAGCCTCACCGTCAGTCTCTGCCAATGTGTTTCGGTTGCTGAACTTGCACAATACAAAAAGAGTTGCAGAATTTGGACTGTAAGTATCGCAAGTAACAGGTTTCCCCCAAGGCCCAGAGGATCACCCCCCAGTGCGCAAACGCAGCCCCAGATGGACCCAGAGGGTGTCTTACCATGCAGACAGACCCCCACCCCACAGGTTATCGCACAGCCAAGCGTGTCTAGACAGGCCACTGGCAGCCTCCCCGCAAGACAGCTGTACACTTGGAAGGTAAATGATTTGTGGAACTGTGTATGTGTAAAGCCACTCATGCATAAAGCTGTCAAATGCCGTGTAGACATAGGTAGAGCATTTCTGGCTCGACATATTAACATAGCAAAAGCAAAAGGCATTGACACTTTTTATTGGGAAAGGCATCCTGACTCCCTTGTGTAGCTGGTGTAGTTTAATTCAAACCGTGGCACTTCTCTGAGGGCTGAGGAACAAAATCCTTCAGCCAGGATTTTGATGCATGCAATACTGGGCTAACTGTGGTGGAGTGACTGATTTGTCACGATACTTAACTTCCCCTGCTTTAGTCCACATTCATCTGTATGTTCCTTTAACAGAAACTAAGAAGGACTTTTTTTTTTTTTTTTAAAAATGTGACTCCTTTGGGAAAAACACACTTACATATTAGCACTAGTTAAGACTCCTTTACCTAATCTGGTAGCATTGTTGTCAATGGACAAGAATACAAAGGGTGGAAACTAGAGAAACCACCAAAGAACTTGTTTGCTTCAAGAATTCTGCATTTCAACACACCTATTCAAAATCCTTTTGTATTGTTAGTAGCCTAATATAGCAGGATTGGGGCGGGAAGGATAGCAGGAACATGTAAATTCTATAAAAGAGTCTTGACCATAAATAACTTAAAGATTTCGGGATCATTCCATAATCTCTATTTTCAATCATCATCAGCAGCAGGCAGTAATCCTACAGAAAAAAAAGTCCACAAATAAACAAACCAATTTTCCTTTAAGAGCAGAGCTAATTCTTTTCAATCCACTTTTTTATTACACTATTTTCCCTCTATCTATTTAGCTAGCATAAGGATAAATTTCCAAAGCTACCCAGTTGGAAAATAAATGGGTTCACTCTTTGTCTAGCATTCCAATCTTCACAAATGTAAATCAGTCCAACTGCTACTCATTTAAACCTCCAACTTCACAAAACATTAAAGGACTGCTTTCAATACACAATTTAATCTGTGACAATTCACCAAGATTTCTGCTTGAACATCATTAGAAATTGACTATCTGATAAAGAGAGACCACTATCAGAGGTCAGGCGGGTCAGCCTGTGTCATTTACGTAGTTTTACCGGGTCAACTACAGCAGGCACCACTATTTGAAGGTTAAATTGTTACAATTAAATACATATACAGCTATCCCCATAGCTACTCCGTTGTTAAATCTACCGTAAACAACACAAGCATTTATATCTGACCCTAACTGTGTCCAAGATGTCACCATTTGGAAATTATACAAAAAAGGACATTATAATCCGTTACACATTAAACAATACTTTATGTAGCGAGATCCATAATTAGCTGGTAGAAACTGGTTTCATTTATTCACATCAGTGTTAAGGGGTTCATTTAGGTTACTTTCTTTCATTTTAATTGGAATAATGTGAGCAGTGCCTCCCGATATATTTTATAGCTGGAGAGTTCACTATAAACAAAGGCACGTAACCCTGCTAAGGCAGTCACTAGGGAAACTCTTTTTCTATGCATTGGCCCTATTCACTTGCTCCCTAAGTATCTTCAAGAAGATTGGCTTTGTCGGGGGGAAGGGTTGAGGGGGGTGTCAGTGAAGAGCCTTCTTATATTCAAGTGTACTGCTTAGCTGGGAAATCCTACTTTACTCGGAGTTTGAAGCCAGCCAGCCAGAAGCGTTACCGTTACGTGATTTTCCTTCTCATCAGAGAAAATCAAATGAAATATCTCAGTAGCATTTTGTAGCAATCAGATCATTCTGATGCACATAATCGTATAACAAGGTAGGTATATGGATACCACAAGAGAGTGAGTAGTTAGTTGAGTAACTAAATTTGTAATCAACTCCTACAGGAAAAGGAAAAAAAATAGGTTTCTCTGCATACCTGCCTGTGTGTCTCTAGTTCACACCACAATATACGTAAAGTTGCGTGTATGCTAGAAAAGATTCTCAGAACCACTGGCTTAAATCAATTCTAGTAAAATATCCAACTGGAATATAACAAGAAATTCTTACTGGTACGCCTGCACAAGACAAATGTGATGTATCTCAGATGAGCTTCCTACTCCACGCCATCACTTCGTTTTCCTTCTGATTTGCGTGAAAGCAGGACATTTACTTTTCACTCAACTCAGTAGCCTGGGATATTCGTTCTGTTTTACCTGTGTGTTAGTGACCTGATCCAAGACTCCCACAGTATTCGGTGGGCTTTGCATGAAGTCTTTGGCTGGGGAAGCAGAAGTGCTTGAGTGCACTAGATTTTGTTGAAAGCACAGGATTAATTCTGGTACCAGAGCACTTCCTCCGCTGGGCTTTCACATCCGTGCGCGCGTCTGCGTGCGCTGCGACAGAGAGCAGAGGTGCGAGCCATGTGGTCAGTACAACAAAATCACAAACGCTTGTTGTACAATCCTTACATGTAAGATCATATCACATCATTCATCCTGAAACTACCTTTTTTTTCCCTTTATTGTTGTAATTTCAGATTTTGCGTTGGAGACAAATTTTTCCTGAAGAACAACATGATTCTGTGCCAGACAGACTATGAGGAGGGTTTAATGAAAGAAGGTTATGCACCCCAGGTTCGCTGATCTGATGCCACATCATTAAGAATACAAAGCACTATGTTCTTTTATCTTTTTTGCTCAACATGTATATAAGAAATGACACAGGAACCTACTGAATAGCATAGATATAGGGAGACAGAATGGTTGCGTGAAATAAAAGGCGGACTGCATCTGTATGTAGTGAAAATTGCTCCAGTTCAGAGTTGAATGTTAATTAAAAAGGTACTGTACATACAGCTGGATTCTTTTTGCTTGCTCTTGGGGTTTTTGGTTTGTTTGGGGTTTATGTTTCTTTTTGTGTCATTTGGCATGAGATGTTTATTTTGGACTATTGTATATAATGTATTGTAATATTTGAAGCACAAATGTAATACAGTTTTATTGTGTTACCATTTGTGTTCCTGTTTGCTTCTTTGTATTGTTGCATTTAGTACAATCAGTGTCTAAACTTCCTGTATATTTATGCTTTCTGTATCTACCAGCTATTTTAAATGAGCTGTATCTTTCTAGTAAAAAGCATTAAAGAGCAAATCCCAACCATTATGCTACACTTAGAGCTTAAGAATACTGTTTACATTAAAACTATTTAGAAAACTAGTAACTCTAGCAGCACCTGCTGCTAATGATGCTATGGTTAAGGGTCTATCAGCACTTCTGTTATAAGCCTCTATTTTTCAGGGGTTAAGCATCTGCTGTTTAATTGCATAGATTTTCCTGAAAGAGCACTTTTATTTTACTACAAAATTTTGAAAAGCAAATCTGACCGGTTTGGGATATATTATAAAAGGTGCAAAAGTTAATGATTTTGGGTGCTGCTTTTGTACCCCTGAGGCATTCAAAATGCCTGGATTTGATTTTTAATTTAGCTGGAAATTAAGCCCTAATGCGAACCAGTGCCTCTGATTATCTTATTTTATATATATATATATAAAAAAAATATATGTTATTTTTCTGAAATCATTTAATTTGGGGGGGGGAGGAAAGGGAGAGGACTTTGGTTTATATACATTTTTAAAATTTCTTAAAATTTGAGGGGTCTCTCTCTCTCTCTTTCTCTCACTTTCCTTTTTCTTTTTTTTTTTTAATCAGGGCTTCACCCTAAAGTTTTCTGGGGCTGTCCCCTCAACAAACCCTGGAAAAAAGTGAAAGTAGAAGGCACTGTAAACAGCCCCCTCTGAGGGTCTATTTACTTTAAGGAAATGACCCCGAGCTGACACCAGGAGAGTGACTGGTTACTAATTACCCACCTCAGTGAATGCTGAAGGTGATTTAAATGCTGCTGTGGATGGGACAAAACTTTGAAATACCAATACAGAAAGTGAGAACTACCACGCTCGACTGCACAGGTACTTTGCTGTCCATGCCAACATCCTACAGGTTTGTCCCATCAATACTGGCAATTAAAATCCTTTTGACAGAGGTGGAGTCACTGCTGACAGCTACTGTTGGCAATCAGTCCATTTTCTAGGAGAGGTGGACCTCTGTTTTTAAAGCCATGAAGCTATTGCATCAGCAGGATGTCCCTAAGTGCTCATGCCCCTGACAGAGCTTACAGGTGTTGGGCAAAGGAAAGCAGGATGAATGTTTAAAAAGTTGTTAAAAGCATATTTCATTCTTTTCTCTTTGCCACTGTGATCTAGCTCACCAGGAAAACAGCCTGCATTTAAAAGAACATTAAGAAAAAAAAAAAAAAGAAAAAAAAAAAAGAAAAGAAAGAAACCCACTATACCCTATGTTGCTGTGAAGCTGAGCTCTTGTTTTTATTTAGACTCAGAACCCCTCACCTCTGCTCAAGTTGAGTGCTGTCCTTCCCTGCTCGTCCTGTCCTGTTGCGCAGTTTCAACATGTTTTTCCTGGATAGGGAAAGAAACTTTGTAATCCGGTAGGGTAATTCCTCTAGGGTATGGTTTGGAGTACACTGCACAGTGGCTTGACTTAGAAATGGATCTTTAGTTCTAATACCTATTGTTATAGTGCGGTTTTGTTTCTGGCTGTGAACGCTTTTAAAAATAAGCATGGCTCACAAAACTTGATTTTGACTCATACAGGACCAGTAAGAAATGCAACGACTCCTCAGGCTGTTCTTGTTAATTAGAAGAAATAGCTCCACATGGTTTTTCAAATGAAATTTAGCCCTATTTTGTGGACTATCTTCCTTCTTAACCTTGAGCGCAAGTCTCTCATCCACTCCCCTCCACAGTCCCTTAATGTCTTTGGGATAACGAAGCAGTTGATGTCAGAGGTACTATTAGGCTCTTCCAGATCTACTTCAAGTGCAATAAACAAGTTGTCCTTTCCATGAAGGTGAGGATGGCCAGAAAGGGAAGAATCATATTATCTTATTTTGATTCAAACTTCAATTTTCTCCTCCAGTCTCTGTTGTGTCTTTCAGTTAGAAGCCAGAAAGATCTCTCTTCTGCTTTCCACTAGTAGACTACAGACTGGATAGCAATCCCTGGTTCAGAAATAGGGCTGGGGAACAGGAAAGAAGGGAGCTTGGTTCTGTCTTTGACTTGCTGTAAGCTTGGGCAAGTCACTCAACTTCTCTGTGCCTCAGTTGCCCCTATCTGCTAAATGGGGCCAATGCATACACTGCTTTTGTAAAGCATTTTTGGCTCTTCAGAAAACCAAGAGCTATGCATGCAAATGTTACTAGTAGCATTAGGACATTCTGGGAAAAGCAGAGCATTCGTACGTCCATTAGGTAACCACAGATCTGAGGCAGGAGAGCACCAAAACCAATGAAGCCTGTTGAAGGCTTTGTTGGGGATGAAGGCAAGTACCCACTAATAGTGCTGGAAATGCTAAAGGGCTCTCTCATTACCACAAAGTGCCACTGCTCGGCTCTCTATGGGGTAAATGAAGAGAGTGGAATGGGAAAGTAGTGGCTTATTGTTACATGCCATGTTACTCATATGTGCATGTGTGTGTTTTGTGACATGTGCTCAAAATGGGGAAGAGGAGGGTGGTCCTGCTATGGAGAAAAAAACAGTCTCACCGTTCTATCAACCTTAATTGATGTAAGGCTAAAGAAACCTTGATATGCTTGTTTGAAGTGCTGCAATGGTATGGCATTCCTTTAAGCACTTTAAGCTCATATATCTTATTCACATGCATATCCAAAATTTGTATGTAGAGGATACAGTATAAACTTATATTTGACATAGGTCAAAGATAGGTTACACGTTTTCCTGTATGTCAAACTTCCATCTTGCCTGTGGTTAAAATAATAACTGGGAGTTGACATATTTAATGGAAACATTTACAACTCCAATAAAGTATAATATCATAAGACAATATTGAAGAGAGATTATCTGCCAGGCCTTTTTATTGATCTTTTTGACAGAGGCCTAGACCATTCCTTTGGGTTGCTTTTAGTTATCTACTTTAGGTTTCCTTCTCCATCACTGTGCGTGTCAACAAGCTCTGTCTGCGTACAGCAAAACGTTCTCCTAGTGACCATTGCTCAGTGTATGCTCATTTGCCAGGCAGGAATTTTTTTTCTCCTATCTTTAGGGTATTTTATCTCTATCTGTACAAATATCTAAGTATAGCCAGACAAAAATAATAATAACAATAATTTAAAAAATCTATTATTCTTGGGTTGCAGTTTTTTAAGCCACATGGAAAAAGTACAAATTATCAAACCTTGATTTTCAACTGTAGAAAGCTCCTCTGCCGACCATAACCTGCTGTGTCTGTTATCTGCCGTGACTGGTGATGAATCAAGACAGCCTGGATTCTGCAGAAGCAGTGACCAGGGCTAAAGTTGATGTGTTTCATAATTGTATTTTTATCTTGCTTAACGTATTTTCTGGGTTGGTTTTTTTAAGCACATCTTCTTGCCTCTTCCTACCCTCCCAAAATGCTCAAATTTATGCTTATGTAATGTAAATAAAGAAAAATCATCCAGCAACTCCTCAAATGTTCCTAATTGCCTACATATAAAATGACTTGAGGAAAATAGATTGAAAAGTGGTCAGTGAGAAGGGAGACTATGGAGAAAAGAAACAAACAGGGACTGTGGTAAGGTTTCGCCTGTACAGACAAAGTACTTTAAAGGCTTTTTTCAACGTAATATACAGCAGCTTCTTATAATTTTCTCAGCAGTAGGTAGTTTACAGTCATCTGTACCTAGAACAAATCTTGTCAAAAATGAAGGTCTGTAGTGATTGCTGGGTATAATTTTATACATTTAGCTGATTCTTCTGAAAGCTTCCACTGTGCTGCTGTTGTCAGACTAAATTATCAATTTAGCCATTTGTTGTTTAATGAATAAAAAACTCCTATGGCATTGGAGATGTTGTGGTTTCAATAAAGCAAAAGCTTTAACAACTCAAACTACAGAAAGCCAAGTGTGTACTGTATATAAGAACACTGTTTTTATTCTTTTAAATACCACTTTAGATAAAAAAAGCCAATTACATATTCACTTAATACATTTCTCCTACTTCAGTCCAATGATGCAGACCAAACCTGTTTACTGTTCACTGCAGTACCTTGCAAAAGGAAACCAAAATACAATATGTGCAAGGTAATAGGCCATTAGCACAAACATGTTCTTAGTAAAAATCTTTTGTGTAGGCACCCTTTCTAGAAGCTGCCAATTGTGGGTGATAGAAGTATTATAAAGGAACTGATTTTAATACTATTTAAGGCATTAAAAGCTGAAGAGTATCTGTTGAAAGCCTTAAAGTAAGGGTTGCGTGTATCTAATACCTTTTAAAATGCCCTTCTGCTGATTTATATTCATCCTGAACCTGCTAATAATGAGTATACATAAGCAAATACCATCTTCCACCTATTCAGCATGTCATTGGTATGAAAGCCCCAGAAAATATCTCACGTAATCAGTGTGTTCAGAGAGTTATCTAGCACAAATTACTCATTAACTCAATAGCACATAATAAAAAAGAACATCAATTAATTAATGAGTCACCCTCAGATCACTTTGATTACAACACAGCTCTGTTGAAACAGCAGTTATAAATGGAGCTGCCTCTCTTTATTCATTGTTTGCAATTGGCCCATTATTTTGCAGAGACCAGTGTCATATTTAACACATGCCTGCAGGTAATTGTGTGATTAGTTTCATAAATGAAGATGCAGAGGGAGAATGCGGAGTGTCTTGCTCTGCAGTCAAGTCTGAAGATGCAGGAATCCACCGTACCTCCTGCAACCTGCCGTGCCAGCAGACCTCTGCAGCGCCCACAAGGCCAGCCTGCCTCTGGACTGCAAGGTCTTAGTGACAGGACAACACTCAGAACTAGTCATACTGACCTCTATTTTTATCCAAAGATCTCAAAGCCCTGGGCAAACACCCTGGGCCTCCCAACAGGCCACATTGCTGGTATTTCACAGAGGAGAATACAGAGGCAGAGAGGTTAAGTGGGCTGCCCAAGACCATGCAGCAAGTCTGCGTTCCTCGAACCCCACTATTAGCATGACTTGTAAGACCTCACACAACCGCCCCATCCTGGGCCTTGCCAAGACAGGCTCCAGTGCTACGCTTGGAGCAACACATGCAAACACCTCCTCGATGCTGAGGGATAGATCGAGGAGCAAGGAGAGGTTGAACATCCAAAGCTTCACTGTGG